CCCAGCCCCCCTGCAATGCTCTGGTTTGATGTTGCTGGACCAATGAGCCCCAGTTTATAGACATGCAACCTATACTGCATAAATAATGCAGTAATTTAATTTGATCATGGGCTAGGCTTGGGACATCACAGTAGAAGTGGGTTTTGTTTTTTGTGTGTTTTTTCCCCTGCTCCCCCGCCCCCCGAAGCTTTGTGTCAACATTCTGCTAAATTAATCTTGCTGAAGCAGATGTTCCAATTTAGCAGCCAATATGTGATATCACTATCTTTGGGAGTAATTCAGTGAGATTTAATACAAATGTTAACTAATTTGGCTATTGTAAACAAGTCAATGCTGAAAATCTTTTACATATCTTTTTTTGGGGGGGAGATTTAGCATGCTACTGGATTAAGTAAAATATTTAGTTAATTACCACTTCCCATGGGGAGGTGACATTCTCAGATTAAATAGATGCTCTTAATTGTGTAGGCGTTGTGCTGAAGAAAAAAGAATCTGGAAGCCACCAAATGCACATCTAAACGATACAGAGCTGATTTGTGTATCTTGTTTATCTGGCCATTGTTAAAAATATTGGCCAATCACTGCATGCGTGTATAGGCACATCTTCTTCTTCCACCACCTACTAGATTTTTAATGGTGTTTAGATGGAGTTTCCAGAAGTGCCTACACATCTAATGCCCACTGGGACTTAGAATCATTTTAAAATCTAATTTGAAAATCCCAATAGGATGCATTCTTAGGCACTTACATACCTGTAAGTCTGTCCCTCAGTCCAAATGCTGATTTTGTTTACTTTTATTTTTGGTCATTCACAAAATAGACTCCAGGTATGCATTTGTATGTGTGAGAAATGGCCTTCCATATGCACAGACTTCTATTAAGGCCTAAAATAGGCTTATGTGTATGTCCAACTTTTTGGCCTAGTCCTGAAACATGCTTGATACTTTCAAATCCCATTAACTTCAGCTAGAATCTCTGCTTCTCTACACCTCTTGAGACCAGACCCCTATGCACACTTGCATCTAGCATCTGCTATGTAGAGTTTTGAAAGCATAAAAACAAGAAAATATTTTGCATGATCACACAAATATGGTAGTTTCTGTTGCTTTTATTGAATAAAAAAGTAGTCCTGTAAGACCAAAGGATCCTGGTGCCATTTAGGTGGCTGTATTATTGTAGGTAAACTATGAGATGTTTGATGGAGGTTCATTGATCACTAAAAGTGAATAATTTGCAGGCGCACCAGCTAATTCCTGTTTAGAGACTAGATTGCCTAGTACCTGATTAATAAAGAGAATGTACAGTTCTGGAGTAACATTATTTTTGTTTTCATGTCTTTATAGTAGCAAAGAGGGGGGAAAAATAATCGTATTAAATCCTGCATTGCCTTGACAGTTAACTGTCCTGGGAGAATTCTGTAATTTTACTCTGGCTCCAAATGCAACAATTGAGGAATTTCTCCCAGGATTATCTAACCTTCAACTGTTGTATCCTTCCTGGGAGTGTTAAGTATTCTCTAAGATACTGGAAGTCATGCTGACTGATGTGCATTTGTTAGAGTTAAAGATAGTTACATACTCTGCACACACGTTTTTAAAAGTAGAATTCTACATGAACTAAGGGCACGTCTCTAGACTACAGGCTTTTGTCGACAGAGGCTATGTCGATAGATACTGTCGACAAAGCTTCTGTCGACAAAGAGCGTCTAGACTACATCCAGTTCTGTCAACAAAGCAAGCCGCTTTGTTGACATCAGTGTAGACGCAATAACGCGTTCTGTCAACAGAACTCAGCGGTAGTGTAGACACAGGTATAGCTTTGTCGACAAAAGTGGACTTTTGTCAACAAAACCTTGTAGTCTAGACACACCCTAATTGTAGTTTTGAGGGATTTTTTAATTGAAAAATTACTTAATTTTCAAATGCGTTTTTCAGTTTCTCCTTCCAGCTTTGCCTCTACTTCGCAGCTGAAGGCAAGGTTTGATTTAGAGATTTTAAAGCAAATCAGCACTTAGGAAGCTGAGTGCAGAATTTCTCAGCAGAAAGATGCCAGGATACTGCTAATAAAAAGAGTCTAATATTTAAGTAGTGTTCTTTAACTTTCAAGTTCAGGCCCTGATATGTTGTTCTTCAGCTTCTTCTCATAAAGAGCCAACGTGAAGGTGAGGGAAGGTTGGCAATGAGGACCAGAAAATTAGACCTAGTCTACACTTAAGTTTGCCTGCGTGTGTGTATGTGTTTGTGTTGTGTTGTGTTGTGTTTTGTTTTTTGACCGGGGCGGGTGGGGGGGAGAGGGGGAGGATCCTGTCTCCAACTGACATAAGTATGCATAAGTATGTTGGCATATGTACATACCATACTGTACCCCCACAAATGAGCTTTTTCTGGTATAGTTTATTTTCTTTGGGGAACTGGAATAAGATCTGTTGACAAAAGTTATTATTTGTATTATGCCACTCTTTAGGAGTCCTGATCATGGACCCAGAACCCCATTGAGCTAGACATTGTAGGAAAAACACATAACACGACAATCTCTACACAAGTTCTTTAGTTTCTTCTGGTATAGACTGCACCTCCCCTGGGAGGTTACTCGTACTGCTATACAGGCAAAGACTTTGTAGTACAGACCTGATGTTACTATGGAATATAATAGAAGGTGACCAGATATTTATAACAGGAGAGATAGTTGCTAGATTATCTAACTGCAAGACGGCATGCTGATGGTTGTCGATCAGGGTGACCTAGTGGAAAGAGCATTAGACAAAGATTCAGGAGACTTGGGTTCTAGTTTTGATTCTGTGTCTGACCTGCTGGCTGCCTTTGGGCAAGTCACTTGTCTCTGTGCTTTTATGATCTGCATTTTAGAGATGGTGATAATGCTGTTGACATCCTTTGTAAACTGCTTTGAGATCTGTGGCTTTTAAGCCAGCTCCCTGGGTATACCAGCTGCTGCCCCACACTGCTGCCTCTGATACAGGAATGGCATGGCAAGTGGCTTCTTGGGAACCAGACCAGGAGCCATGTACAGCCATTTGGGTAAATAATAAGCTCATGCTTATCGATTATCCACTTACATGGCTACAGTCTTAGATCCCTAGTCTCAATATGGGACCAGTGATAAAAGCCAGCTCCATTCATCAGCTCTTCCTGACAACAGCTTCTGAATACTTCCCTCACTTGTTCTGTCTACCTTCTAGAGCTACATGCAGTTTAATAGATAAATAATGGCTTGTTTGCTCATCTACATGAATAAGGATACATGCTTCTTTACAGCCCTTGTATAGTTTTTCTTCTGAAAAAAAAAATGTTGCTGTTTTTTATTAAAAACATCATTGTCTTTTATTTGTATTTTTCCAGGTGATTATTTTAGCGAAGGAAAAAATGATTCAGAGGACAGTGGTCTACGATTTGCTACTTGCCAGTTGTTATGGAAGCAGATCAATTCTGAAATGGAGGTGGGGCCTGCTACTTTATACTAACTATACGTTTTTACAATTTAAATCAATTCTGGTCTTTTTGTTTTGTTCTTATTTTTCTGAGTGATTTCCTTTACCTGCTGACAAGATCAATGATGTGAGGCAGGGAGAAAGTGAAATCTCCATGGGGAACACATAAACATCACTGGTACACTATTTCCAGCCATGGCATGCATACCAATTCTGATGCAGAAGCTTTCCCTTCTTATCTTACTTATTGTCCACTTTGCAGTATCCTGGTGCATTGCCTCTGTCTCCTTCTGATTCAGTTGTATGTCTTCTAACCGACAGTGAAGTTTAGACTGCTCTAAATCTCAGTTGTGTAGGGCATCCCAACATCAGATTAGAATGCATACTGGTGAATGGGAGATGGACATGTGCTAATTGCCTGAGTGCTTAGTTTGGTGAACTGGTGTAAACAGTCTTTTATATACCAGTGAGAAGTCCTGTAATAATAATAATAATTAATAATATCTCAAATTAAACAGAGTATTTTAGAGAACAAAAAAAATGTTTCTTCAACCTCTTGGTTACTTGATGCCTTGTGAAAGTAAGTAGCCCATATTCAGGAGACCAAAAGATTTTAAAGATGGTTAACGTTGCAGGATGGAACAGATAAAGAAAGATTTTTCTTATGGCCTTTGTGTTTTTGAGGGAAAGCAGTCCTAGAAGATATTGTGCCTACTAGCCTTCCTTCCTTACCTATTTTTCCCCTCATTTAAAGAAGAGCTTGCACCCTATGGTGAATTTAATGTAACTGACTTAAAAACTTACTAAATATCCTTGAATTAGATACTGATCAGTAGTGTGACTTATACTTTTTCTGGATGCGTTTAACAAAGATGTAATGTTTAAATTAGGACTTGTCCTCATGCAGCTCATTATTAACAATATTCAGGTCAATTTCAGTGAAAGATTTGGAGTACAAAAAAATGAGGAAATTTTTGGAAAATCAGAATAATTTGTTTTGACGTTTTCTAAACAAATCGTTTTTTCTTTTCATTTTGAGATGTTTGAAATGTTTCATTCAATCAGAAGATTTTTTCCCCCCTCCCCCATTTTCAGAGAGGAAACAATTAAAAAAATTCAGGCTTTGGTTTGAAACAAAGCAAATTTTGGGAAGTGGATTTTTTTAATTGTATGCTGAATCAAAAAATACACTATTTGCTCAACTCTAGTAAAGATCTAGAGTCTTGATAGAACAGCTCAGTGCAATCGTACTCAATGTACAGTAGTGGTCATAAAAGGGGAAAAAAATGTTAGGATACCTATGGCTCACAGGAGGTAGTAGTTGACTGGTGGTCACAGCCCCTAAAGCTAACCCCATAAGAAATGTTTGTAAGTAGTATGTGATTTATATTTTGGTTAATAGAGATGCAACCATCTTCCTATTAAGTTTTCTGATATTCCTAAACAGGATTACAACTTCCCTGTCTATTCTAGCTGAAGGAATATTTTGGGCAGGATTGAGAGAGCCATAAATAAACACATTTGATAACCAAAGGAAGTTTAAAAAAAATAATGCCAAAGTGTATCGTGTCTATTGATTTTATTTTTTAATATTTTTCCATATTGATCCCTATATGAAAATCATCTTTCAAGGACAAAAGGGAGTAAAAGAGATGGTGACAAAAGATGTGTGTGGCTGAAGATACATTTTTTTTTTCATCATTTAGGCCTAATACTTTCTTTAGTTGATTTCTTTGTTTCAATTTAAAGGAATTGAATGTTGACTCTCTTTTTATAACTGTAGAATTGAAACAGAAAATGCTTGCAAGCCTTCTATAAGAAAACTGGAGGAAGGAATGTGATTTTAATGTATTCTGAGGTTCCTTTTTTTTTTTTTTTTTTTTTTTTTTTTTGCTTTTTCATAGCTAAATACATTTTTGGACTCTATACCTGAATCGCTTTTAAGATTACTGTTCAATCTGTCATGTAGCAACACACACAAACAAAGATACAGAATCCCTGAATTAATCAGATAGCATCAAGGTAAAACAGGAAGCAAAACTTATGTTTCTGTTACCTAATCAATTATGACCTGAGTGTATAACTTACAGAATATGGATAATTTGGATACTGGATAATTTGCTGTGTGGTTCTTTACTGGTAGTTAGATGATGGGGGGAAGTGGGAGACCCCAGTGTCTCCTTGCCTGTGTATAATAGTTTAATGTGTTTGTTTTCTAGAAAATACAAGATGAACTGAATAAACAGTTATTTGATAACCTAATAAATTTTCTGAGACAGTCTCACTCTGAATTCCAAACAGAGAGTACAGAATGGATGTGTCGGATGAAGTCCAGTGAAATTCCTACTGCAGCTCTTGTCCTAGGTAACTTTTTCGATTTTTAGACACTTTGTGACACATCTGTCAAATATCTACATTAGTTTAAAGGTTGAAGGTATTGAGTTGGAGCCTTCCAGCTATTGGAGTAAGCAGCATGAACTTTACAAACATTAACAGACAAAAATCATAGGAAAGCTGTATCTGTTTTAATTCTCCTCTTGTTTTTCCCGTATGTATGAAGGCACAGTGTGAAAGCATCTCCTCCATAGATTTTTGCCTTAGGCTTTCGAACATTTGGATTCTATTCCCATTTGCATTCGCTGACTTGCGGTGTGGCTGGTTTTGTTTGTTTTTTTTTTTTTTTTTTTTTTTTCCCCCCCCCAATTAGCATGACAGTCTCGTGTATGGAGTTTATTGTCTCAGTCCTCCTTTGAGACAGACAAATTTTGTCCTTATTTTTATTCATAATTTTTTTCAAATATTACAAATATGCCAAAATATCAAACTTATCATAATACTCTAAAGAAGCTAAATTAAATAGGGGAGGAGAAGCAACATATTTGTCTTATGGAGCTACTGTAATTCTAGATCTCTACAATGTCAGCCCAAATTACTTTGAATTTTTTGAGTAGTCCCCTTCTGCGGAATGCGAGTAATCTGTTAAACTGCAAGGTCATCTGTATCACTCAGCTATCACTCTCCCTGAACAATGATTTTATTTTGCAGTTGGCTTCAGTGGGCCAGCATATTGCTGAGGCTGTAAAATGGCAGTGTAGATTCTCAGACTGGAGCCCAGGTTTTGGGTCCTCCTCCACTCCACTTTCCAGGCCCTCCTAAAACTAGGTCTGTGCTGTGGTTCTCTCTGTGTTTTTTAAATTGATTTATCTGAAACTATTCTGCAGTGGGCTACAAAATGTCTCCATTGTCGATGAATCCAGGGAGTCTGTGGTAGAGTTGCTAATTGAACTCACATCTTCCTTTAGCCCTACTTTCAAGGGGGAAGGAATGGAATTTGGAAGCAATTAAGCAACTGTTTGTTGCCCCTTTAAAAATCTGTGTACATTACTAATCTTTCTCTCTCCCCACAATAACAAAAAAATTAATAAAATCTGCTTAAGTTCTGAGAGCCGCACTATTGTAATATTATAAGATTAATTCATTTTCTTTCTCCATCCCTCAAATTCTAGATAAAAACAAAAGAACTGGCTTTTCCTCATTCTTGTTATTGCCAGTATTCTTGACAGTTTAAGTGCACTCCAATGCAGAATAGCTGTTTAAAAAAAAAAAAAAAAAAAAAATCCCAGGGAGATATTCAGGTCTCAAGTGCCTGTTACCACCTTTCTTCCTGGAAGGAATTTGAGGGATATTTTTGCTGCTCTCCATAGACAGATTACTTTGTGTGATACTGTTGCTTTTAATCAGCCATCACAAATATGGAATATACTTTTTTTTTTTAAATACCTTATGAGATCTAATTTTTCATTGTTCTCTTTCTTGTCTGTTTGGGACATCTTTCTCTGTTGGTGATTCTGATCATATTTATTTTTTCTTCCTTCTAGGTGTAAATGTTACAGATCATGACTTGACATTTAAGAGTCTCTCAGAAGTTCTGCAGGATAGCATTACTCCTTATGTAGTCTCACTGCAAGCCAAAGAATGCCCAGGTATATATTCTAATAGCTTTAACAACCTGTCTATTTTAAAAAAATAATAATTAGAATAGTAAAAATTATGGATGGGAAAGACCTTGGGCCATCTAATCTAATTTCCTGACAGTGCAGGCTTGTTCTCTTCAATACATTTTCTAATTATGTCCAGTTTTGTCTAATACAATAAGGATTCTACCATGTCTTATGGGAAACTATTCAAACTTTGTTATCCTGTTCAATTTGAAATAAAAGCTAAGCCTCAGGAAGAAGCAGGTGCAAAAATGGTCATAGATTCAGGGTAACTGCACTGATGTTCTTCCCTCCATGGTCCCCATCATTACCCAATCAGGTGTCAGGCATCCAGTCATTACTTGTGCCTGGGAAGGCACCTCTATCATGCTCCCTTCTGACCAGGGGTTTTCAGCTGCCCAAGCACCATAGTTCCAGTGTGACATCCCTCACAAGCCTTAAGGCCAGCACCTAGGCTTGTCTTTCTCTCCAAGTGGGATATACCAATAATCCAGACAACTCTTTCTAAGCAAGTACATTCATTCTTAGGGAAAAAGCTGCATGCATATGAGAGAGCCCCAATAAATGGATTTAAACACAGAACAAACACCAGGAGTCATCTGCCAGTCTTATGGGACCCTAGGAAAAAAAAATTTTTTTGGCTAACCCTTCTTCACGGTCAAAAGGAACCTTTGTTCAGTTCAAGCTCAGCTTTTCATACCAAAAGCAACTTCAGTTTACCCGTACAGACTAACTCAACTACCCTCTGAAGTTTTTCTTTGAGTCACTCTAGAGGAGTTAAGTTACAGTGACTCACCTTGATCACCTTCCTTAATACACTTTTTTTTTAGTTTTCTGGAGAAGTTGTGGTAACCCTCTTAGAGTAGAACACAAACTTATATAAACAATTCATACATTTCGGTAAGTGATCCCCAAAGTTTAAGGCATGGTGTTGCAATATCAGTCTCAGAAAAAATAAACTGAAATCTCCATCTGCAAATCCTACTCTCCTCTTATTCAGCCACCAACTTCATGTTTCTGAGACCTTTTGACAATGAGAATTGCACAGGATTTCTTTTTTTAGTTTTACATAATTTCAGAAAAATACTATTCAGTTTTTTCTGAATGCCACAAAAGGGCCTAACAGATACATGTTTATATTGTACAACCAACATATCTATTTCCATTAAAACATTTATTAAAACCTTTATAAATACACACACACACACACACACTTCACTGTATAAATAAAACCTGTTTTACTGAAATTGGGAATAACTGGAATAACATTTTCTTCCAAGTGTATGCTTTTTGTAAATTCAAGACTAATGAAATATTCACAAGATCTCTTGATTAGTAGTCTAACTTCAGGACGGTTAATCCAGTAGTGCACTAAAAGTGCAGTGCTCATGCCTGGGGGAGAGGTAGGATCAGTATATGACTCTTGATATCCTCTCTCCCTCACCAGACAAGTGTTAATTATTGTTTTACACAGCAATCCTACCTACGGAGGTTTGGGAACTACTTGAGGATATTGAGGATAATGCTCTGCAGAGAGGGTGTGTTTGGTGAGGAAGGAGAAGAAAAAACAAATGGGATGATTTTAGGGGAGAGAAAGTAGGGTTTTGGGATTACACAATGAAGACACTTCTCTAATTACCTAGAATTGTATCTGTATGTTGTAAAGGCATAAAACACCTGCTGCAGAAGTTGATGGGACAGCTAATGAACTGCTATGTAGATGTGGATGACTCTGAAGAGGAGGAATGTGTTAACATTTCCCAGAAAAAGATGCGCTGTTCTATGGCTTCTCTTTCCCAATGGTACAAGGATGTGACAAAGGTAGGCCTTTGTATTGTCACCTTACAAAGTATTTGGCTTTTAACACTCTTAAAATTTTAATTGCATATCTTAGTCTTATAAGAACAGATAACACTGATCATGTGTCCTCCCTCAGGTTAAGTGGGCTTTTTATGCTCACCCATCTGTAGCCTGCACTGCGTAGACATTAACAAGAAAACAAAGCCTTTGAAATGTTTTATGTTTTCTCACTATTGAAAACTAATAATTAGGAACACCAATATTATGCTAAAATTATTGAGACTCTGAAGGCCTCCTCTGGTTTTCTGCTGGCTAATAAGTGGACAAAAAAGTTAAGGATCTTCTTCCTTATTACAGTGATGCTAGTGGTATTTATGTGCTTTGCAGGGTTGTCAAGCAATTAAACATTTTGATTACATGATTAATCACATGCAACTCCCCTTTGAAATGCTGTGGCAGCGTTTCAACAGGGCAGTGCTGCATGGAGCCTGGGATCAGCTAGAGTTCCCAGCTGACCCCAGGCTTCATGAAGCGCTGCCATGGTGTTTCCAAAGGGCATCACCAGGCGGAACCTGGAGATGTAATAGTGTAGTTGATTAACCGATAAGTAAAAGCATGTAGATTAATGCTATAGATGACACGCATTTCCCTCTCCCTGCCAGTAACCTTTTTAGAAAGCTGGCCAACAGCCTGGCTCGGTGCTGGCTTGCGACGGGTCTGAGATCTACCCCTTTTGAGGCTCTGCATATAAAGTGTATTGGGAGCTGGGCAGGCAGGCAGCCTAGCCACCCTGCACTGCTGCCTGTCTCTCAGAAGCAGCAGCACAGGGTGACAGGTGGCTGGTCCGAAAGGGAAGCTGGTTTTTAAACTAGCTCCCCTCACAGACCAGCTTCTACCTGGCACCCCACGCTGCTGCCTCTGATACAGTGGCTGCCGGCCCCACCCCTGCGGACTACAGACTAGCTGACTAACTGATAACAGTTCACGAAGTTAGTTAACTGAATAGTCGAGTGATATTTAACATTCCTGGGCTCCATGCAGTGCTGCCCCTTTAAGGCGCCGGAGCGGCACTTCAAAGAGGCAGCGCAAATGGAGCTGGGGATCAGCTGGAGTCTGGGATCTGCTTGTGCTGTTCCCTTTGAAGTGCCGTATTGGTGCTTTGAAGGGGAAGTGCATTAGGAGCCAGAGATCATCTGGGGACTCCAGCCGATCCCCAGCTCTGCTCAGCTCTGCCCCTTTGAGGTGCAGGAGCAGCACTTCAAACAGGCAATGCAGCATTAATGTTAATTTTTGTAACGCGTTAATCCTGTCCTGCATTAATTGCAGGCATTAACGCAGGTCAATTGACAGCCCTATTGCTTTGCTGAATAGAAATGGATTTAAACATGTGCTTAAATCTCTGCTAAATAGAGACATAAATGATCATCCTCTTTCTGAAACCATTCAGAGTAGCTTGAGTATCTCAGCTGAGATAAAGGAGAGCTCTGTTGAGGGACAAAAGGGGGGGGGATCCTACTCTACTCCCAAGTGCAACAGCTGCTTTAACTTACTGTGGAAAAGCATTTAGGCCTTAATGCAACTCCCCCGCCTCTCAAGTAGAGTACTAGAGAATCTGTGCAACTGAGGATGCTTCATCCCTTTTCAGTTCCCAGACATGCCTAACTTGCTACAGTAAACTTCCAATAACCCGGCACCTTTATGACCCGGGGGTGCTGGATTATCAGATATGCTAGACTACCAGAAGGGGGGCTATGAGGGGTCTCGGGTGGTGTGGGGGGGATGCCACCCCAGACCCCTCATAGCCCCCCCTTCTGATAAGCCCCTCCGATTAAGCCACTGCTGGTCAGTTTCAGCAGCAGCTGAATCGGGACGCCTGCAGCAGAGTAGCTGGGATGCTGCCGGGTTGGTCCGGTAGTGCCACCCCTTGGCGCTGCGGGACCGACCTGGCAGCACCCCAGTTGCTCTTGGGGACGCCTGGGGTAGAGCAGTTGGGGTGCTGCCGGGTTGGTCCGGTAGCGCCAAAGGGCAGCGCTATGGGACCTACCAGCAGCACTCCAGCTGCTCTGCCCCCAGCTTCCCCGATTCAGCCGCTGGTCAGTTTCAGCAGCGGCTGAAGCGGGAAAGCCGGGGGCAGAGTGGCTCCAATGGTCTGGCTGCCCGGAGCGCTTCCAGGTTCCTGATGTTGCCGGATCATCAGGAGTGCCGGACCGTCAGATGCCAGACCAATGGAGTTTTACTGTACTATGATTTTCATAAGAAGCGGTGCACAGTTGTGTGCCTACCCCAAATAGTCCTTCCCTTGCCCGATGTAACCATACCAGCAGGCTCTGCAGAGGTAAGGACAGGATTGGTCCTTATTGAAAAATTGTTTTCTAACCTATTCTGTTATCATAGCTGTTTCATTTCGGTCATAGGAGTAGAACTGTGCTCCTGTATTCAGAGAAGTGTGTTATAACATGGGAAACAAAGTTACTTTTTATCCTTTCCCAACTTCTCTTTTTATAATATATGGGCAATGGCTTTGAAGAAATCAGGCTTTGAAACGTCAAGCAAAAAAAGAACTTCCTCTTCCAGGCACTGGCAATCTCCTCCAATTGTGGTTATCTTCAAGGACATGGAAAGCTTCACAACGAAAGTACTTCAGGACTTCATTGTTATCAGCAGGTAAGGTGCCCCGAGGTTTTGGATTGGTGTCCTTTTACTCCCTTCCGCTTTTTCAGTTGTTGCTACAAATTAAAGGTGGGTGCTAGATGTCACTTTTGCTTGTGGTGGTAATCTGCCTAATTTTCCACAAGAATGCAAGCCAAAGCATTCGAGTGCTGATGATTCCCAGTGCTTCCTGTGTTTCTCCCCATATGCCCACAAGGTCTCCACAGTTCACTGAGAGAGAATTATAGACTAAGTTTACTGAAGTTTACTGCAGCACAGAAGACCTGAGAGCATATCCAAGGAAGTCTTAGCAACGTAGTGAGTACAGCACCAATAAGAATACAGTAATTTTTGTATGGCTTCTCAGTACAGCTGCTGAGATCCAGGCTTAGGTAAATATGGGTGCTCAGACCACATGAAGCACCCAAGGTAACTCTGGAATGACAGTATTCCCCTTTTGGACTATAAAATCTTGGGATACATGCTATCTCTCTACAAGGGCATGGAAAGAGTAGAAAACCGAATCAGAAATTTTTGAGGATAGCAATAATGGTGCAGGTGAATGGACAGTGGGAAAACAAGCACTGTTGGCAGTAGAAATGATAGGTTTTGTTTTTATTTTTAACTGTTATACTGTCACCTAATTCCCAGTATTCTGAAGTCTTGAAGGGGTGGTTTTTGTCGTGGTGCATAGCTCACCAGGAATAGCTGGAAGTTGAATACACGTTGAAGTTGAATGGAAAATAAGTTTGGATGCTTTTCCTGTGATTTATTAGAGCATCAGCTCTCAACTGTTCCAGACTACTGTACTCTTTTTGGAAGTCTGATTTGTTTTGTGTACTCCAAGTTGCACCTCATTTAAAAACTATTTGTTTCTAAAATCAGATATAAAAAGGTTAATGTCACAGCTCTCTATTACAGGAAAATTGCTTATTTTCTCATTGTTATCATATATTGTACAATAAATCATTTGAAATATAAATATTTTATTTATATTTTAGTGCAGGGGTGGGGAACCTCAGGCCTGGAGGCAGCCTCTTGCTTGTTTGGGTCTGGCCCCTGAGACTTAGGGGCCCCCCCCCCCAGCATTGAGGATTCCATGCTGGTCTTCCATCCCACTGCAGGACTGGAGCGAACACAATCTACTAGCCTGGGCTCCCCTTGAGTCTGGTCTGCTAGGGAAATGTGGGGAATGTGTTTTCCTTCTCAGTCAGGGCCACGCCAGTTAGGAGGTTTTTTTGCTTCTCGTGCGTGGTCGCTGACTGGTGGCTTTTTTTTTTTTTTTTCCCCTGTGGGTCAGCAGCCCCCAACCCAAAGGAGGTTCCCCACCCCTATTTTAGTGTGCTGTTTATAGATCTTTATAAGCAAGTTACTGTATGAGATTTTAGTTTGTACTGACTTTGCTAGTGCTTTTTATATAGCTGTTGTAAAACTAGGCAAGTATCTAGATGAGTTGATGTTCTACACAGAGGTCTTCTAGGTGGTATAAGCCTAGAATCTGTCCAATCCATACACAATTAAAAGTTGTCTTCCTTAAAATCAGGTACTATACTGCTAGGCTAAAGGTTGGTCAGTGTTATGCATTATCTTTTAAAGAAGGTGCTAGGGATGTCCCTGGGAATTGGACAGATGCACTTGACTTTTTATTACAATTAATTTAGCTGATGCTAAAGAGGGAGTTAATATTGTGCTGAATTTTTTTTTTAATATCATTCTACTTCTCCAATCTGTTAGAATTATGAGAGGAAGCCCATAGACTCATACATAAGGGACAGATTATTCAACAAAATCCCTCCTAATAAGTGGCTAAGGAAACAAAGTAGTCATGAGTTTAGAGTTGAAGCTCTGTTTTGGGTTAGAACCTGGCTTAAGAGTTTGAGAACAAAAAGAAGAAATAGTCATTTTTCGTCATGGAAGAAAGTGTGGTGCCACAAGGATATGTAATGAGGCTAGTCTCACTTTCTCTCTCTGACCATGTCTAGACTATGCTCTATTTTTGAAAGAGGATATGCAGATTCCGTGGGAGTTTACATAACTTCTTCTCATCTTGCTTTCAAAGTGAAAGTATTCTGAACGTAAGAATGGCCGTACTGGGTCAGACCAAAGCTCCATCTAGCCCAGTAGCCTGTCTGCCAACAGTGGCCAGCACCAGGTGCCTTGGAGGGGGTGGACCCAAGACAATGATCAAGCGATTTGTCTCGTGCCATTCATCTCCAGCCTCTGACAAACAGAGGCTAGGGACACCATTCCTACCCCCTGACTAAAAGCCTTTTATGGACCTAACCTCCATGAATTTATCTAGCTTCTCTTTAGAGCATGTTTTTGTTTTGTTTTGTTTGTGTGGGGGTTTTTTGTTTGTTTGGGGGGAAAAAACACCTTTTTCGAAAAAATGCTCTTCCTTAAAAAATGAGGTTTACACTTTTTTTTGGAAAGGGATTTTTCCCGAAAAAAACCCTGGACAACTCTGTGATACGACAGAATGATTTCATCATGTCACTCTGTCCCGCCTGCCTCCTCCCTCTCTTCCCCCTCCCCCCCCAATGGCTGGGGTTAGAGACAGGCCTGGTGCACCCTGTGGCTTGGACAGAGGGGTTTAGTGTGGTGGGGGGGAGCAGAGAAGGGACTCTGGCTAGCGGAGGTGGGAGGGAGAAGGAATCCTGATTCATGGAGTGGGAGAAGGGATGCTCGGTCTGGCTGGGAGAGGAAAGAGGGGGCCCAGGCTGGTGTGGTGGAGAGAGAAGGGGCCTGGGCTGGTGAGGCCACAGCCTGGCCCTCCCCGGTGGCCAGGAGAGGAAGAGCCAGGGTTGCCTATCCCCCACAAGAGGGGACTTGGCAAATGCAGTGAGGTGGAGGCTCAGCCCCAGTATTATTTAATATATTATCTTTAAGTTGAAGATGTTAAATAGTAAGGAGCAAAATTTGGGGGTAACCTGAAACTAAAAATGGAAAGAAGCTACATCTCTCTAAATTAAACCTTCCCTTAGAACACAGTGCTTAGTTTTGTTCATCACGTCAGAAAAAAATGTACTAGAAATAGAAAAGATCCAGAGAAGGCAAGTTTCATACAGTAACTTGCTTATACTGCTCTTTATACAATACACTGAAATGTAAGTTCAATATTTGTATTTCAAATTATTTATTATACAATTACATGATAAAATGAGAAAATAAGCAATAAGAGAAATGGAACACTTCAAAATGAGAAATTTAGAGGTGTAGGATTGTTTGTTTTTAGCAGAAATAAGTAAATATATAACTTATGGTATATATAGATAGCACCATTTGGGCATTCTAATTTTCTTTTCCTCAACACATGTGCAGCTTGATAAATGGTGAAAATAAATGATAGATTTTTAGAAAGAGGTGTGTGTAGTAAATATACTATGATATATGAATAAGAAGAACATTCACAGATATGCTAGGATAAAACATAAGGAGATCCTGGCCCCAGTGAAGTCAAGGGAGACAGGATTTCATCCCAGTAGGAATATAGACTCTTTGACATATAGTGAGCCAAACACAAAACTCTCTAGAATGATGGGTTTTAAGTTTAATTCTAAATGTCTTGCTTTATATGTGTGTTTAGCAAACTGCAATACTTTTTTTTTTTTTTTTTTTAATAAGTCTTGGGGATTTTGTTCATTTGTTTTTTGTGATTATGGAGTGTCTGGCAGCAGGCCTTGATCTGTGATTGGGGCCCTTATGTCCTATTACAAGTCAAATACTAAATAATAATAATTTCATTTGTCTCAGTTTTTTTTATCCATTTGAGCCTTTCAATTGTATTTTTTAAATTGTTAGTTAGAAGTGAAAATATTTTCAAGACATATTTGGAAGACTGAATTTTGAAATTTTCAGCTAGATAAAACTAACACTGGAAGAGCCCTTCCTATATAACATTAAAGCAGATGATTTGCAAGTTTCTTCCTGAAGACTAGACCTTTGGGAAACTGTATGATTTGTTTTCTTCTTGTGTGCTTATAACTTCTGCTCTATTCTTTTCATTTCTTCCCAGATCAGAACTCCTCTTTTTCCAATTGTAGCAGTCTGTTTACATTGTTCCTTTGTGCTACTAATTCTTTTGAAATTAGTGCTGTTTTGGGAATACACTGTGTTCCCTTGTGGTTGTTTCATACAGTGCTAGGGAAATCTACATAACTATTATGTTTTCTTTTTCCTTCCCCACTTTGTGGTCTAGTCAGCACATACATGAAATCCCTCTTGTACTCATTTTTGGAATTGCCACGTCTCCAATGATCATCCACAGGTTACTTCCTCACTCTGTTTCTTCTCTGCTGTGTATAGAACTTTTCCAGTCTCTTTCCTGCAAAGAGCACATGGCTACAGTAATTGACAAGGTAAATCCATTTCTAAATAAATGAATGGGGAGTCGATGTTTATGGGACTGGTGCATGTGTACACAGCATCTTATGATTTAAGATTGTATTGCTTTATATGGGGGATACTAGTCTGTAAAGCTTTTAAAGTAGGAACTGTAGAGCCCTGCACAGATACCAGATTTGTATCCGTATCCACAAAAATGAGCCACAGATATCTGTGGGCATCCATGGATGTAGCTATCCACAGATTTTCAGGGCTCTAGGGATCTGTTCTTGAGAGCTATATGTTCAGAATATTTTCCTCTGTGTACCATGTCTTTAAGTTCACTTACTTACATTGTGTGAAAAGGAAATTTTCAATGTTGAAGACTAGGAATGTGAAGGTGAACTGTGTACAAAGTTAACAGGTGAGCCTGGGCTCAGCAGTTAACCTTCATGGTTATATGTGGGCTCCTGGTACACATGGGGAGCTGACTTAAAAGCCAGCTCCCTGAATGCACCAGCTCCTGGGGAGCCACCTGCCCCCACTCCTTTGTTTATTTAAATATATTTTAATATCCCTACTGGAAATGATTCAGAAATTATTCAGCACATATACTGTCACTTCTTGTTTGCATTCATGCACATGCGTTCACCCTATTATCTGGTTTTCATTTCTTCTCCCCCTCCCCCCTTTATTATAGAGCTTCTTTGAACGGAGTATCACTTCGTTTGAAATGTGGATGGTTTCACATAGCTTACATTTGCACTCAATGCAGCCTGATGTGAATTCTTCAGCTCCTTGAAAATGAGTAGAATTATCCAAATATAAGATCCGATCATGCAGATGTTTTGCTTGTGATTTCAGTAGAGTAAATCTCTAGAGTACCTGCAGAACGATTGTGTATGCTTACACAAAATAGTTTTTGTTCTGATGCCTGCTATAATATTCATAATTTGAAAAAAAGGTAAAATTAATGTGAAGTTTAAACACAACTAAAATCAGACAATATAAAGTTCAGGATGTGGTGGAATCAAAGCTTTAAATAACTGTGTGTGTGTGTGTGTGTTTGCAGCAATGGAAATGAATGCTGTTTGGAAGGTGTCTACCCATGTGTTAATCAATTATAGTTTAATTTTAGCACAATTTGAGAGTTGAACCAAATGCAGATGTAATCACTTTGTTATTTACATATTTAAAAAGGAACATTATAATAATTTCTACTAGCAGTTACATTTACTTTGAAATGTAATTTATTCTGAGAACATTTAGCAAGGAAATATTTTTCCCTTTGTCTCCTGCAGCTCCTTCTGACAACTCAGTTTCCCTTTAAACTAAGTGAGAAAGTGTTGCAAGTTCTAATCAACATATTTTTATACCATGATTTCTCTGTGCAGAATTTTATTAAAGGATTTCAGGTAAGCAAGCAGTAAGAAGAATTTCAGTTACAGATAGTGGTGAAAATGCAATAGAATTTCTTCATGGTGGCAGATTTACTTACTTAGTTTTTTAGGGCCTGATTTTATTCCCATTGAAATCAATGGCTGAATTCCCATTGAATACTATAATTGAGATTGTCTGTCTTGTAAATGGGAAAGCTATTAGGAAGCTAGCCAGAAATGGAGGGAGGCAGTTTAGAAACAGCTTATGACTTGTGCCACAGAATATAAATAACATTAGAAACAAAAAAGAGAATCTATGTGAAAGGGTAAAAATAAATGTTCTATGTATTAATTGAATAGCTATTCTTTGATTCCTTTCAATTTTGCCTACTGTTACAAAAAAAAAAAACCAAACCCTCAACTATATAAATAACTTTGATGGGAAAAGGCTTTTCATCCCAGTATACCAGCCCAGTTTATTTTTTTGTTTGTTTTTTAAGAATGACTGTGGTACAGTTTTTCAGGGAAAAAAAAAAATCATTGAGTTGCACCATTGACTTCAGTTGTGTGAGTATTTGCAGGTCTGGGGCCTTTCAGTGCAGTAGAAAACATGCTTCTAACTCAGAGTAGTATAGTTGAGCACATGTGTAAATGTTTATAGAATCAGGCCCTAACAGTATGATTTCAGGTATGTAAAATGAGTTCTTGTCATGTTCCATTGTTTTGTTTAGTGCATATTCTGTCTTAAACGCTAATTAGTTACCACTTTGGCATTTATGAGGTTAGACTTGGTCACATAACCCCACAAATTGTGTAATAACTATTGTAATTGCTGGGTTTTGCTATTATTCCAAGAATAAATCAACTAATAATTGATCAGCTATATATCTCATTGTATAAAGCAGAAAGCAGTTGACTGAATGATATGAGCAGCAGCAAGTGGCAAAATTAGGTTGCCTATATTATTCATTGAATAATAATCAACTACCTCTAGTGGCTATGGAAAGTAGAAAATTATTAATGTAATCTGATGTGTTGGCTTAATTAGCTGTAATACAATTTTTAAATGAATGTCATTTTAGTCATCATTAATAAATTACCTAGCTTATTTAAAAGCTAAGACCTAGCAAGGAAAGAGAATTGCATAGTTATTACACGTGTTTACTGCATTGTCTCTTTCAGCTGTCAGTTGTGGAGCATTTTTATTCCCAGCCCCTTAGTGTGTTGTGCTGCCAGCTCCAGGAAGCTAAGAAGAGAATAAATTCTTTATCACACAATCAGTGTGAAAATATTCGAAGTCTGCCATCTTTTAGAAGGTAAAGGAGAAATACATACTTTGAATAGTCCTATAGTCAATCATTCTTTTTAAATGCCTTGTAAATACAGCATTGTGAAACGTGCAAGTATATGTGCATGTTATACAAAACAGATGGTTGTGAATTATTTCTGAAATTCTTTTATCTCTTGTCTAAAGAATACAGTTCTTTATTTTGTATAAGATAACCTGCTTTAAAATGTCACTTAAAAGATCCATTTTTTTTCCTTTTGTTCTTTGTGTAGAAAAACACATTTTTTGACAAATGATCTAATCAATTAAGAAGCAGACCCAGGGCTTAAACTGAAGGATTTTTGTAGTAACACCAGACACAACTGACTCCTTAGCATGACCATTTTAAAAATATGTATTGTGTAATTTATATGTTGTACAGATATCTTTGTTTGGTTTTTACTTCAGATATGTGGAAAGTCAAGTCTCAGAAAAACAGATTGCACTGCTGACTGAGGACAATTTTTTGAAGGTAAAGTGTGTGTTTATAAAAAAAAAAAAAAATTGGAAGCTAAACAGCTTTCCAACCCTTCCCCCCCCCCCCCCCATTATATTGCATGGAAAAGAATAGAAAACTGGGGTAGAACATGGTTCTGTGCAGAATCTTTCATTTTGTAGATATCCCAAAATGTCTAATAATTTAAGAGGCGAGCTTTAGATCTGCATGCTAGTTCTGATTTTACTATGTGTAGTGTTGGTCACACAGTCTTTCTGTGCACTGTATTTGCCGTTTGTAAAATGGATAAAATAATTACCAGGGATGTTGTGATATTTAGGATTCATTCTTAATTCTTATTCAGGCAAAAAAATTAAAATCAATGGAATGCTTATCTGAATAAGGCCTGAATTATTAATCCTGCATGCTGCTCCATATATATGGACTTCTGTACCTTCAGTGGATCTCCCTTAAAATCAGTCAGGCTCCCTATGGACACAGAGTGTGTGCTCACACTAAACAGGATTCCAGGACTGGGGCCTTTACTTTTAAAAACTTTTAAAACCTTCAGATGCATATCCAATACAAATGCAAAGAATGTTGTCAATGACAAATATTTTATAAAATGAGCTAGCTACAAGTGGTACAGTGTAAGTGAATATTACAGCTATTGCAAGTGAGCCATGACTCTGAAGCTGCCATGCACATGAAAATTTGTTTTATAGAGAAAAGTTAACACAAGAAACCAAACTTATCCTGTACTTGTTTTCAGCATGGTCTTTTCCCATCAAGACAGCACCTAGGCTTCCATAAAATCCCTAGTATTAGCATTTCGGTAAATTGCTTTTTTAGTTTCCAGTAGGGATATTAAAAATTGTGTAAAAGGTAATCGTGTAAGTGCTAAGATTTTCAGCAATTTACACAGGCTCTGAAGTATAAAGCTTAGATTTATACTGCAGAACCCACAGGGAAGCCTCCCTGGAACTGAGGCCACCAGTCCTTGCCGACCCAGATGCCAGGAGGGAGGCTTTGCTACTGTAGTGAAGCCTCCTCCCCGGGAGGCAAGCCGCATACCAGTAAGTCTATTCACTTACTTTCACCACTGGATTTATTCCAAGTATAGCTCATGTCGGGTGAAATCTGCTACTGTAACTGAATCAAAGCAGTTAAGAGTCTTCCAGGCAGAGCTCCCTGTCTTGGAGAGGCTTTTCTAAGTACTAGGAACAGTATTTAATGCATTATGATCAATGAAGCATGAAACTATCACATTATTTACTTTCATTGAGACTATAGAAGACTGAGTGTAAATACAGTGAGGCCTAACAAAGGTTTGTGAATGGATAGCATGATGGCTGATGAAATTCAGTATTGATAAATGTAAGTGCACATCAGAAGCAGTCATTGAATTATTTATGCATATTATTGAGTTCCAAATCAACTGCAGCCACTTGGGTGTAGAAGGGGGAAGTCTGTTTCTCTGTGTGCAGCTGTGGTTTAAAAAAAAAAAAAAAGGGAAGAGATGTACAAAGAATGGGATCGTGAGTAAGTTAAAATATTATGACTTTATATAAACAAGGGTGGGGAATTTTTTTTGGATCGGAGGCCACACACAAATAAGGAAAGAAAAATCGGCTGTGACCTGGCCAATGAGCAAGAAGGAGAAAACAAAATTCTCAGACAGGGCCTGCAACTGAGAAGCAGGGAAAAAAAGACACACTCCCCTCATTCCCCTCACGCTCTATTCCCAAAGTGGGAAGGGTGCTGAGGCTCAGATTAACTGGATTAATTCTTCTGGGGTCCAGGGCTAATAGATTTTTTTTTTTTTTTTTTTTTTGGTGAGAGCTGTCTTGGATCTAGGGTGGGACCAAAAATAAGGGGTTCAGGGTGTAGGCAGGAGTTGCTAGAGAGCTGGCTGAGGGCAGAGCAGGGTCTGAGTGGGAGGTAGGTTGCAGGAGCAGGCTGAGGGTGCAGGGTCTGGATGGGAGTTAGGGTGCAGGTGGAGCAGGTTGAAGATAATGGTGTGATGTATGGGTGGGAGGAGACAGGGAATTGTAGTATGTATTTGGCACCAGGAGCAGGAGTGGTTCTGCACTGCCCTGCAAGGACTGACCACAGCAGAGCTGCTTCCTTCCCCCTGCTAGGCAGAGTCCATGGATCAGATACTGCATGCAACTTGCTTTGATTTGGCCTGCATGGGTGGGGTCTACCTCCCTGCAGCTGGGAACTAGTGCTGGCACTCCAACCATGCAGCGTGGGGAGGAGGTAAGCCTCACAGGCCAGATCAAGGCAAGCCATGTGCAACATCCAACTCGTGGGCTATAAGTGCTTCATCCCTGATACACAGTATTTCAAGTGATGGCAATATTTTATATTATCCCATGCGATAGCTGTGGTTATCCCATGTGAAAAAACACAGCAGTGGTTTGGAGGAAAGCAATAAAAATGATTGTTGCTTTTGAAACAGTTCCTCCTGAAGAGAGATTGAAAATGCTGTTGCTGTTTGTTTTAGA